CGCGCCCCGCCATGCCGCTCTACACCGGTGAGCCCCCTGGTCGCCGCGCGCCCCGCTCCCGCGGCCCGGCGCTAGGCCTCCGCGTAGGCCTGACCTGCAGAGGCGGGCGCCCGGCCTGGGCCGCGGGAGGGCACCCTGGCACCTTCCTCGCTCCTTGCCGGGTCGGAGCCCTGGCACGCGTGGGAGCGCTTCCCCCTTGGGCCACCGGGTGGGTGGGGTGGGGGCGGGAGTGGAGATGGGGAAGCTTCTCGGAGTCGTGACTCTGCAGAACAAGTTTCTGTCGCTGTCCTAGCGTGCCGGCAAAGGTGAGGGTGTGTCCTGGGGCGCCGGCGACCAGGCTGCGGGCGCAGTGCGAGTCCTTTGGGCTTCTCAGTGGTAGCTGCGGAAGGAGGGGAGGGATGGAGGGAGCCGCGTGTACGGTAAGCATTCATCCTTCTCGGGGTAATCTCGATAGCTCCCCTTGGCCCGAGGCAGGTTGCAACCCTGTCTCTTTGCTTTGTTTTCGTTTCGTCAGACATTGTATGGACTTCTGTATCCGAAGCAGGGTGTTCGCTTTAAGAGGTCGATGAGTACCCTTATCCGCGGGCGTCATTTCTTTTTGATTGGCGTTTGACAGGAGTTGTTGGCTTGGTAGTCCAAGGTATTGGCTAGGGATCGCATCAGTTAATGGTCCTTGCTGTTTCCCAGTCTTATTCAAAATGGCACCTATAATGTGTGTGGTGTCTCCAGTTGGCTATGGATGTGTAATTCGTTGACCATCTCCGACTCAACTCTGTCATAATTCCCTTATTGAAGATTCAGCATTTTCAAAGAATGAAGTGAATCAGAAGAGTCATGTTCGATCTCATGGTGGATTCCTGATGGTCTAGAGTCTTGAATCAAATGCTTATAGTAATTGCCCAACCCCTTTCTAAAGCCATAGCAATTAACAGTAAAGTGGTGCTTGAAAGATTCTGTTTATGCAATATAAATTTGAGGGGGCATTAATTAAGTAATGGCGACAAATAAGGCTGTATGCTCATACTTAAACACATGTAGGTTCATACACTTATAACGAAAACAACCCTGCTCCCCCTTTGTCCTTTAAAAAATACCAGCACTCACAGGAGTTTCTATCTTAAACATTGAGTTCTATCTTAAATGTTTAATCAGATCTTTTTCTCATTCCCCAAAATGAGGGAATTGAAGTAAATTTCTAAGGTACCTTCCTTTGATATCTCCAAATTGAGAATCTGTATTCTCTGGGTCAGCAAAATGCTCTATATTAAAATGTAAGTACTATTTTGTAAGTTTTTGTAGAAAAATTGAATATTCAGATTCTTAAATGGTTAAGGATAAGTGCAATTAAAAATTGTGAAACACTCTGTGCCTGGCACAGACCTTAGGGTTTTACACATGTTGCTTTGTTTTTATCCTTAACATAGTCCTGTGATACTGGTATAATTCCCCTTTTATGGATAAGCAGAAAGTTTAAGTAATTTGCTCATGGTGATACAGTTGAATATATTTCAGACAGGTTCCTCTTCTTTTATTTCTAAAATTGTTTTGGTTTAGTCCTGTGTCATCTTTAGCTTGTACTACTGTTATACGTTTCTAGTTTATCTCAGTGATCAGAGTTCAAGTCCATTTTCCCTACTGCTGCTAGACAGATCTAGTAATATTCAAACCAGATTAAAGTGGCCTTTATGGAAATCTTTCAGGGATTACACATTGCTTATAATGTAAAGCCCGTATATATGTTTTAGCATGACTTATGTTATCTTCCTTGACTTGGTCCTTAGCTAGCTTCCAGTTTCTTCTACTGCTACTTTCCCTTCACTCTGGGAATTACTTTATATCTCAGAACACACCGTGCTGCTTTATGCTGTTGAGTGTTTTTCTTCTTTTCCAAGAATGCTTTTGTTCTCTTCTATTCTCTGGCTAATACCTAATCTTTTCTTTGAGACTCAACTCAAAGTTGATAGTGATAACTCAAAAATTAACATTTCCTCCAGGAATTCCCTCCTCACTCAAGAAGCATTCCTCTGTGCTCCTGTAGCCTGTATAACATTTCTATTGTTAATCATTATAACCTTTTTTCCCCATTTCCCTCTCCCTTATTAGACTGTAAGTTTATAGAGAGTCTCCCTAATGCGTGGTATACTGTGTTTGTCTTTGAATGAGTGCTGCACACATTCATTGAACTGGTAATAGAATTGAGATTTGGACTCAGGGTCTGGTTTTCAAATCTGATTTCAGAAGTCGGAAATCGGTGAACTATTAGTTGTGAGAGTCTCACGTTTGAGAACGTTTAAAGTTTTCAGTGGAGACAGTGTGTATCCTTGAGTTTATTTTTTTACGTGTTTCAAAAGTTGTCTATTTTATGAGGCTGATTGAAATTTTTTTCTTATTGTGGTAAAATATATGTAACAAAATTTACCTTTTTAACTATTATGTGTACGTTTCTGTGGCATTAAGTACATTCACTATATTGTGCAATCATCACTACCATCCACCTCCACAACTTTTTCAAGTTCCCAAACTGCACCTTTACCCATTAAGCAAAAACTCCCTATTTCTGCTTCATCCAGCCCCTGGCAACAACCATTCTCTTTTTGTCTTTATGAATTTGACTACTCTGGGTACCTCGTATAGGTGGAATCATGTAGTACTTGTCCTTTTGTGAGTATCTTATTTCACTTAGCATAATGTCTTCAAGATTCACCCATGTTGTAGTATGTGTAAGAATTTCCTTGATTTTTAGGAGTGAATAATATTCCATCATTTGTATGTACCGCATTTTTTTTTTTTTTTTTAAAGATGACCGGTAAGGTGATCTTAACCCTTGACTTGGTGTTGTCAGCACCACGCTCAGCCAGTGAGCGAACTGGTCATCCCTATATGGGATCCGAACCCGGGGCCTTGGTGTTGTCAGCACCGCACTCTCCCGAGTGAGCCACGGGCTGGCCCATATGTACCGCATTTTTAAAATCTGTTAATCTTTTGATGGACACTTGGGTTGCTCCCGCTTGTTTAGCTATTGTGAATAATGCTGCTATGAACATGGGTGTGAAATTATCTGAGTCCCTGCTTTCAGTTCTTCTGGATATATACCCAGAAGTAGAGTTGCTGGATCATATGGTAATTCTGTGTTTAACTTTTTGAGGAAATGCCATACTGTTTTTCACAGTGGCTGTACCATTTTACATTCCCAGAAGTACACAAGGGTCCCAATTTCTCCACGTCCTTGCCAACACTTGTTATTTTCTGTTACAAAAAAATATTTTTTTGTAGTAGCCATCCTAGTGGCTGTAAAGTGGGATTTCTATATTTTTTAATGATTTAGTTGTAGTTTTGGATTTTTCTTAATATTTGAGGATCTCTTGCTCAGGAATGACACCTTTCAATTCTCCCACACCTTTCTTCTTATAATTCAGAATCTGTATTCTTTAAGCTATTTTAAATGTGCTTTAATCTCCCTGAATTTTTTTCTTCTAAAACTATCTTTCTCATTCTCCTTTCTTCCAACAATATGTACTGATTTGAATGATTCTTTAATTAAACATATCGTGATGGGAAATACTTCAGTGTGATCATCATATTTTGCAGAGATTTTTGGAGTAGGATTCAGAAGACTTGGATGTTTACAAACCAATTTTGTGACATTATCAGATCAGTCAACCTCTCTTAAGTCTCACTTTCCTTATTTATCAACTGAGAAGTTGGATTTGATCCAGTAAAATTTTATTCAGGACCTACTACATGTATGTCACTCTTGATTAGGTAGGCATTATGGGCATAAAAAGATGAAGGACACAGCTTGGCCCTTAAGAATTAGCCTCATAGGTAATCCTTTAAGGGTCTTCTAAATCTGAAGTCTCATTATTTTGAAAATGAAAAACTATATGATTTTGTTTGCAGTGACTGTCAAATGGGGAAAGGAGAAATTTGAAGGTGTAGAATTGAATACCGATGAACCTCCAATGGTGTTCAAGGCTCAGCTTTTTGCATTGACTGGAGTACAACCAGCCAGACAGAAAGTTATGGTGAAAGGAGGAACATTGAAGGTAAAATTCCGTCCTAATTTTCATTACATACTATTATTATATAATTAGTGAAAACTTTTTTTTTTTTAAAGATGACTGGTACGGGGATCTTAACTCTTGGCTTGGTGTTGTCAGCACCATGTTCAGCCAGTGAGCAAACCGGCCATCCCTATATAGTATCTGAACCCGTGGCCTTGGTGTTATCAGCACTGCAGTCTCCCGAGTGAGCCACGGGCGGTCCCTTGAAAACAATTTTTTTTTTTAAACTTTTTTTTTTTTTTGCAGCTGACCAGTATGGGGATCCAAACCCTAGTGAAAATAACACCAGAAATGTGTTTAGTGTTAATGTAGCATTTGAAGCATTTTTATTTGCTGAGAGTAGTCTATGGGATTAAAACTTTCTTATTCATGTTAGAGTAAGGGAGGATCATTGTAGCCACTTCAGAACACTATAAACTATTGTAAAAGCATCGCTTAAAGTTTTATGTATAAATTTTATTTATACCTCTGTGGAGTGGGGCACTTTACAACTTTTTGTATTGTTTGAATTTTTTTCCTGTGAGGATGTATTAATTTTTTTGGGTTTAGACTAATGAAATCTATTTGTATCTCCTTAGTAATTTTCTGTTATAGGGCTGGAAAATTTTATCTCTGTTAAAAACATGGAAGAATATGGGTAGATTTGTTTTTTTTAAAAAACTACTACAGGGCCGGCCCGGTGGCGCACTGGAGAGTGCGCCGCTTGTGAGTGTGGCGGTGCTCCCGCCGAGGGTTCAGATCCCATGTGGAGACCGGTTCCCGCTCACTGGCTGAGCGCGGTGCGGGCGCAACACCAAGGGTTGCGATCCCGTTGCCGGTCCCCGGTACAGGCGCGACCCTGAGGGTTGTGATCCTGTTACCGGTCAGTAAAAAAGACAAAAAAAGGAAAAAAACAAAAAAAACTACTACAGAATATATTTTTGTGCATGCATTTGAATATTAAAATTCAAAGCACTTCAACATCTTACCAAAGCCCTGGTTCTGGATTACTGGAAAACTTTATTTTTTCCTTTAGCCTATTTGCATCCTACTCACTTTAAGGAAGACCCTTTTCTCTTAAGAGTAATTGCTATCTAACTCCTACCTGGAGATGGGAGAAAAAATTTTTTGTTTAAAAAGAGAAGGAACCTAATTTTTCTCTTAGTTATTTGGAAATAGTCACACTGACTACAGTTAAGAGTCCAAGCTTACCTGTGTCATTGATGAAGGGCCACAAAAAAGATGAGATATTTTCTGTTACTGTTTCTTAAACTATATAGTATAGTTTTAAAAAATACTTTCTTCAAGGGTTAGATATGAAATGCTAAAGAGCTGTAGTTAATTTTAGAGGTAAGAACTGGCTACCCCCATCTTCTAGGCAGTAAAACACATGGTATAAAAACTTTGTTTACCACCCCACCTCCCAAGTTGTAGTGTGAGCCTTTGGCCTTTAGTGAACTTCATTACCTAATTTGAGCTGAGCTATGTACTGTGGAGAATTATAGAAAAATGTAATTAAATGAAACCTTGATTATTAATAGCTACCAAATGGGAGCTATTTATTGAGTACATTTCTGTGCCAGGCTTTTTACATATTTTCTTTAATTCTCAACCGAGTGTGTTATCCATATTTTATAAATGAGGAAATTGAATGTCAGAGAGGTTTAAGTCGCATAGTGTAGCACCAGCAGAGAATGTGATTTATAAGTTAAGCAGATATGGGTTCAGTTCCCAGCTTTCTGTGACCTGAGTGGGCATTTATATTTATCACTCCTTATGATTAGCAATTAATAGCCTTTAATAGCCCTTAAACTGAGAAAGGCCTTTTAGAAAGTTACTGTTCCATTTTAAAGCAGGTTGTCTCAAGAGATAATTAGTGGAGAGGAGATAATCCAATGAAGAGGAGACAAGCATGTTGAATGTCATACCTTCTGTAAAAAGAAAGGAGTAATATGGAACCAACTTTATCCTGTGAAGGGAAGGTCTAGGTTGCAGTAAGTTAAATCATGTGAAGCAGTGATGGCATTTAAAAAAAAAAATCTTTATTTTTTATTGAACACATTGAAGTGAAAGTATTTGTTAATTGCTTCATAGATGTGAAATTTAGGACTTGAGAAACATTTGTTGATGCAAATATTATTAGGAGTTTGCCTCAGGTAGTCTGATTTACTCCTGTGGTATAATTTTTAATAGCTCTTGCATTCTGAAGAGTCTCCTAGCTTGGATGATAAGTTATACAGTCACCTCAATTATGTATACCTCATTTCATAAGTTACTCTTCATTTTTGTCATGTAAACTAGTTATTAATTGGTTTTCCTGTTTCCAAATGTGCAAAAAAGAGTATCTGTCATTTGTCATCAAACATTTTTTAGTACTTGCTAGAAGTGTTTTTTATACTTAAGCATACTAGGTGCTGCCAGGTTTACTGTTTTTGAGATTGTCTTAACCTTAGGCAGTTTAAGTACTCGTTAAATTTCTTGGCTTTAGGACTGCATGTGTTTTAAAATGAATTTCTGATTGCAGTAATTTTAAATAAAATCTGCATACAGAAAGAATTTTATTCTATTTTAAAGTAGCTTAAAATTAGTTTATTATTAGATTATGTTCAGCTTGTGCAAAGGTGGTTAATGTTTTTTGTTTGTCTTTGAAACAGGATGATGATTGGGGAAACATCAAAATAAAAAATGTAAGTATTATCTCAACACTTACTAAAATGTAGTATCCTGATTATTATACCAAAATAAATTGAAAGTGACTTTTTGTCATATGTGTATACAGTTGTTCCAGTACCATCTGTGGAAAATACTTTCCTTTTCCTATGGACTTGTGTTAGAGTCTTTGTTGAAAATCAGTTGTAGGTCTGTTTTTGGGCTCTTGTTTCATTGATCTAGTTGATTAAAGTTATACTAGTACCACATGGTCTTGATTATTAAATCTTTATAATAAGTCTTGAAATAAGATAGTGTAAGTTCTCCAACTGTTTGTCCTTTTTCAAGAGTATTTTAGCTCCTTTGCATTTACTTACGATTTTAGAATGTCTGTCAATTTCTACAAACTGACTGCTGGGATTTTGTTTGAGATTACATTGAATCTGAATCTCAATTTGAGGAGAATGAACATCTTAACAATATTGAGTATTAAAAATCTTTGAATACAGTGTATTTTCCATTTATTTAGGTCTTTGTTTTCTCTTAGCAGAGTTCTAGTTTTTTTTTTTTTTTTTTTTTTCCTCTTTGAGACCGGCCACACCACGCTCAGCCAGTGAGCGCTGTGAGCACACCGGCCATCCCTATATAGGATCCGAACCCGCGCTAGGAGCGCTGCTGCGCTCCCAGCGCCGCACTCTCCCGAGTGCGCCACAGGCTAGGCCCTAGTTTTTTATTATAGTGATCTTACATGGTTTTTGTTAGATTCCTGGAACTTAATGTTTTTTGCTGTTGAAATGATATTTTTAAAAAAAATTTGTTTTCCAGTGTTCATGGCTGGATATAAAAATACAGTTGGTTTTTTAAGTTTATTTTCATCCTGTGACCTTACAATTAAATCACTTACTAGTTTCAGCAGTTTTTTGGTAGAATTCATTGGGTTTTCTATTTACATAAGCATGTTATCTGCAAATGATGACAATTTTACTTCTCCCTTTCTAATATTTATGACGTAATATTTTTTAATTTTTATTTTAACATTTACTTGTACATATTTGTGGGGTAGAGAGTGTTGTTTCAGTATGTGCATGTACCTCACAATGATTCACTTAGAGTAGATAGCATAGTTTTTTACCCATTAGTCCACCTCTTCTTCTTCTCCTCACCCCCTCCTCCCTTGGCCTCTGGTAACCTTTATTCTACTCACCACCTCTGTGAGAATCACTTTTTTTTAAGATTCCACGTATGAGTGATACTATGCAGTATTTGGTTTTTTGTGCCTGACTTCACTTGACATGATGGTTTCGGGTTCCGTTTCCATCCGTGTTGCTGCCAATGACAGGATATCATTTTTTTATAGCCGAATAATATACCATTGTGTATATATACTTCAGTTTTTTTATCTGTTCATCTGCTGATGGACATTTAGATTGTTCCATCTCTTGGCTACTGTGAATAGTTCTGCAATGAACTTGGGGGTGCAAGTATCTTTTTGATATATTGATTTCATTTCTTTTGGGTATAATACCCAGAAGTGGGGTAGCTGGGTTGTATGGTAGATCTATTTTTAGTTCTCTGAGGAACCTCCATACTGTTTTCCACAATGGCTGTACTAATTTACATTCCCACCAGCAACGTAGAAGAGTTCCTTTTTCTCTGCATCTTTGCCAGCATTTATTTTCTGTCTTGTTGATGATAGCCATCCTTAGTGAAGTGAGGTGACCTCTCATTGTGGCTTTAATTTGCATTTCCCCGGTGACTAGGGATGTTGAGCATTTTTTCATGTGCCTGTTGGCTATTTATAGGTCTTTTTTTAAGAAGTGCCTGTTCAGATCTTTAGCCCATTTTATTATATATATATATATATATATATATATATATATTTTTTTTTTTTTGCTGTTGCGTTGTTTGAGTTCCTCATATATTTTGGATATTACTCCCTTGTCTGATGTGTAGTCTGCAAACACATTCTCTAGATTGTCTCTGAAAGTGATGGCAGTTTTACTTTTCCCTTTCTAATCTTTATGACTTCTAATTATTTTAAGTGTTATTGAGGTGTAGTTGATAAGCAAATGACATCTAATTTATGTCTTTTGCCTAACTTCGTTCTAGGATGTCTAATACAGTGCTGAATAGAAAGTATTGAGAGTGGACATCTTGTCTTTTCCTAGTTCACTAAACCTTAAAATTATGAATGGCTGGGCCGAGCCCAGGGCGCACTCGGGAGAGTGCGGCGCTGGGAGTGCAGCAGCACTCCCGCCGCGGGTTCGGATCCTATATAGGGATGACCGGTGCGCTCACAGCACTCACTGGCTGAGCGCAGTGCAGCTGGTCTCGAAAAAGACAATATATAGGGATGGCCGGTGCGCTCACAGCACTCACTGGCTGAGCGCGGTGCGGCTGGTCTCGAAAAGGACAAAAAAAAAAAAATTATGAATGGCTGTTGAATTTTAAGTGCTTTTTGTGCTCCTTGTTGAAATGATCATATGATTTTTCTTTTTCTTTTTTATTTTGCTAAGTGGTTAGTCTCATTGGATTTTTTATTTCTTGGTTGAAGTATATGAAGGAAATCTGGCCTCACATAGTTATATGGTTTAAAAAAGAAGTTGTTTTTTCAGATAAAATTGTGGGCATTCTTCTTTCATTGTACACCAAAACTCAACATGTGGTAGTTTATTAAAGTTTAGTTGGAGGGGTAAAATCTGAAACCACATTAGAGACCTTTTGTACGTTAAAATCTATTTGTCTGTTTTGCACTTAGAGTGAATCTCATACCCATGCATGATTTTGTAACATCTTGTGTAAGTCGTTTGGAAAAGGTTGGTTTCCTGATTTATTTTGATCTTGCATATGTTGATGCATTTCACTATGCGGTGTCAAAAATTGCATTCATTAATATCACTTCCAGTCTCAACAGAAAAGTCTGGGAAGCTGCCAACTGCATAATGACAGATAAAAAATTCTAATTTTCACTTGAAAGCTCTAATTTTGTCATTGGCAACTATAAATATTGGCAGTTGTTTTCCATGAAGTGACAGGCTCACTTTGTTCATTTTTGAGAATATGTTAGCTAGATACTGAAGTCTTAAATAAAAGTCATGATTTATGAGTTGTTTTAAGTAAAAATGGTACTCCATAAAAAAGTAGTTAGTCCAGTGTGCAACTCAAACATTTGCACAAGTGCTTATCCTGAAGACAACTATCATTCTTTGGTATGTAGCAGAAGTTTTTTGTAATATATCTCATTCCATAATGTAGAAGATCGAAAGAAATGTATTCAAGGTTGAGATTTAGTAAAATTAATCATTTTACTACTTCATTTTGTTGCTACTACCTTGATACGTGCTAAGTGGCCAACAGTTTTAGCCACTAATGCCTTAGCACCATCAGTGTGACATCAACATAGTGAAAAAGGGAAATAACATCTTGGTATTATTATGAAAATGGTTTTGTGGTGATGTCTGTACAACTGCATGTTTAAAACTACATTAAAATTTATGACTTTTAAGGTATGAAATAATTCTGAGTAAAGGGTTTTTTTTTTTTGTCCTTTTTGAGACCGGCCGCACGGCGCTCAGCCAGTGAGCGCTGTGAGCGCACCAGTCATCCCTATACAGGATCCGAACCCATGGCGGGAGCGCTGCTGCACTCCCAGCGCCGCACTCTCCCGAGTGCGCCACTGGCTCAGCCCTGAAGAGCATTTTGGATTTCAGGTCTTTGGGTTAGGAATGCTCAAACTGTATTGGCAATTGTGATTTCTCTGATTTTCTTCATCGTCTAGACAGTTTTGTCAATTTCATTGACATCCCCCATCACCCCCCACCCCCAAAGAACCAGCTTTTGCTTGTTCGTTTGTTATTGATTTTCCATCTTTGCTTTATTTCCTTCTTTCTCCTTTGGTTTTAATTCACAGTTTTACTAGTGCTTAAGGTAGAAACTTACCTACATTATTGATTTTAAGACTGTTTGTTGTTTCCTTTTTTTCCTTTTTTTTTTTTTCTGGCAGGCTGGTATGGAGGTCTGAACCCTTGACCTTGATGTTACAAGGCCATTCTCTAACCCCAGTTTTTATTGTGGTAATGTTTTACAGAAGTTTTCAAGATTTATGTAGTTGGTGACATCTGTCTTTTTCATATTTTATGTCAATTTTAGAAAATCTTCCAACTGTGAGATGTTTTTGGATTCAGTTTTTATAATTATTATTATTATTTTTTTGTATATTTAAATCTTCACTCTGTAATTCATTTTGGTTGTGGTGCAGCATGAGGTGGGGAACTGATAATACATTTTTTAAAATTAATACCCAGTTTTCCCCAAGATTTTTTCATTATATAATCTATTTTTCTAATAATTTTAAATGACATTGTTTTAGTCTCCTTTCTTTATTCTTCCTTTCCAGGAATTTACTAGGTATTGTCATGGGTATAAATGTACATGAATCAACCATTTTGTAAAGTTTCAAAAAGGCATTTTATAAAATTTATATAGTAATTTATAATCGTGGGGGGGGGCACACGCTGGTAGGGGGAATGAAGCCTTGACCTTGGCATTACAAGGCCGTGCCCTAACCAACTGGGCTAACTGGCCAGCTATAATCACATCTTTACAGTAATTTTTTTATTTCAGAAATCTGTCATGTCCTTCAATCCATTTAGGTATTTTAAAAAATATCTCTAAATGTAGAGCTTTATAGTTTTGTTGTTAAAGTATTATGTATTTCTTGTTATGTTTACTTTTACATATTTGTTGGTATTTTTCTTTTCTATTGTGCTTTCTAACTGGTTATTGTGGGTATATTCTTTAAATATTTGGTTCCAGAGAGAGTTGTCTTTGGAAAAAGATTTTTTAGTGATGGCTTAGTACTTACATTGTGTTATCATAGAAAAAGTTTAACTAAAAATAAAAGGTAATAGAATGAAGGTTATTGAATTTCAGCGTTAGGTATTCGTAAGACTTTGAGTTTGTTGACCTTACTAAGTTTCCTGATTTTAATCATCATCTGGATATTTTTCGTCTTCTTTGGCTATATTTTTTTCCTGTTTTTTTTTGTTGTTGTTGATCCCCACTTTCTTTGTCTCATGTGTTCGTGTTTTCCAATTAAGATATTGAATGAGAGAGTAAAATGATTTTTGTATTTCAAGATTATGAGATTAAGGATGACAGTGTCTTGTTCTTTTGTATGGAGTGTTTAACACATGTATTGAATGTAAGTATTTACTTGGGTTAATGTCTAAAATAATAAAATTGGATATTTTGAACTAATTTACTCTGATATCTTCCAGAAATGGAGATTTTCATGCTCTCAAGCAATTGTTACAGTTACACAATAGGCATTCACAGACAGAATCTTATTAATGGTTACTTTTATTTATTATGGGGAGAAAAGATGTCATTAAATGTTAATGATCATTTGACAAATTCTTTTCACTTCAGTATTGTAAGTATTACCAGTTTTTTTTAAGGCAATACTGATTTTTTTCCCCCTCACATTTATTGAGATATAATTTATGTAGAGTAAAATTCATCTATTTTTAGTGTAGCTTGGTGAATTTGGGTAATTTTATACAGTCATGTAACCACCACCACAATCAAGATTTAGGTTTCGGGCCGACCCCGTGGCTCACTCCGGAGAGTGCAGCGCTGGGAGCACAGCGGCGCTCTCGCCACAGGTTCAGATCCTATATAGGGATGGCCGGTGCGCTCACTGGCTGAGTGCGGTGCAGACGACACCAAGCCAAGGGTTGCGATCCCCTTACCGGTCACAAAAAAAAAAAAAAAAAGATTTAGGTTTCATCACTCTAAAAAGTTTCTTTATGCCCTTTTGCAGATAAGTAGGTGACCCCTGACCCCAAGCAGCCACCTAGAAGTTTTTTACTTTTTTAACAAGTCAATGATTTTTTTGTTGTTGTTGGCTGGCTGGTATGGGGATCCATCTTAGTGTTACCAGCATTATGCTCTCCCAAGTAAGCTAACTGGCCAGCCCCAATTCAGTGATTTTTTTTTTTTTTTGTCCTTTTTGAGACCGGCCGCACTGCGCTCAGCCAGTGAGTGCTGTGAGCGCACCGGTCATCCCTATATAGGATCCGAACCCGCGGCGGGAGCGCTCTGCACTCCCAGCACCACACTCTCCCGAGTGCGCCACGGGCTCGGCCCCAATTCAGTGATTTTTGATAGTGTATTTACAGAGTTGTGTAACCTTCACCACAATCTAATTTTACAACACTTCTGTCACCCCAGAAAGAAACTCACACCATTTAAAATCACTTACTCCTCTTTCCCACCTTCCTTGGCAGCCAGTAATCTAATTTCTGTAGATTTACCTTTGTGGTAAGTAGAGTCACATAATGTATGTTCTTTTGCGTCTGGTTTCTTTCATTAGACATAAACATGATGAACTTTTAAGGGTTTTCCTGAAATTACCTTTTTTTTTAAAAACAGGGAATGACTCTACTAATGATGGGCTCAGCAGATGCTCTTCCCGAAGAACCCTCAGCTAAAACTGTCTTTGTAGAAGACATGACAGAAGAACAGTTAGCATCTGTCGTAAGACATATCAAATTTTATGTTTGATCACTACTTTTTGAAGGACAGTCATTAAGATGTCTTTCAGAAAGTAATATCTAAAATGTTTTGACGATTTAATCAATATCAAGATGTATGTTTTTAGCAGTAAATAAGTTTTGTTATATTTGAAATTAACTTAAGGGAGTCCTTGTATAGTCAGATAATAAATAAAATTAGGTTTTGTTTTGTGTTTTACACTTTATTATTGCTTTTCAAACTTCTGAGTGAATTTACTTAGGCTTAACTTAAATTTAACGGTGAACATCAAGTTTATATTTCAAGGTTTCTGCTTTTATTTTTATTTTTATTTTATTTTATTTTATTTTTTTAAAAAGATGACCGGTAAGGGGATCTTAACCCTTGGCTTGGTGCTGTCAGCACCACACACAGCCAGTGAGCGCACCGGCCATCCCTATATAGGATCCGAACCCGTGGCCTTGGTGTTGTCAGCACCGCACTCTCCCGAGTGAGCCACGTGGCCGGCCCAAGGTTTCTGCTTTTAAACTCCAAGATTCTGTAAGGTGTTAGGACTATAATTAACCGTATTTTACAGATGACAGTTTTGTTGTAAGATACACACATATAAAGTCAATATCTGTAATAAATATGTGTTTAGCAGATAGCACTATTTAAGTGTTTACTGTTATTTTATGAGAAAACAGGATCAAAGAATAGTTATTTAATTTAATTTATTTTGTTTTATTATTTTTTGGTGGCTGGCTGGTATAGGAATCTGAACTCTTGATCTTGGTGTTGTAACACTGCACTTTCATCAACTGAGCTAATTGTTAAGTCCAAAGAGTAGTTTACATGCTAGGATGTTTAAACCCTTAAATACTTTGTGTTGAAAATATATAGTTTATCCTGAATTGAAATGCAAAGTCAGTTAGAAACTGGCCAGAACATGTGTCAAATGTTATTTTGTTAAACATGTAGCATTTATATAAGTGCCATTGATTTTCTTGTTTGTTTGTTTGAGTTTTTTTTGTTTGTTTTTTGTTTTAAGTGATTCTGTACATGTTTGGCTACTCTATTCTGATCATAAGCCTGCAAAGGAGGCAGAACTTATGTGATTGTTCACTGGTTATTTTCAAGAAGGGAATTAAAACATAGAAAGTTTGTTAGCATGATACAAGCAAAAATTTTTATTGGGGGAAATAAAACATTGTTACTTAGGGTGAAGATGGAATATAAACTGGTAAGGGCTCATAAATAGTCCTTGATTCCAAGTGTGAACTTTAGTGATTTATATATGCCATGTCATTTTATAAAAATGACTTAATTCTTTTTTTGTCAGATGGAATTACCATGTGGGTTGACAAACCTTGGTAACACTTGTTACATGAATGCTACAGTTCAGTGTATCCGTTCTGTGCCTGAACTCAAAGATGCCCTTAAAAGGTAAGACTGAAGAGAAATGTTTTGTCTTTTTTGAGTGAGGAAGGTTCACATTTGGGCGAGTAGTGTCGTTTTGTATTTTTTTTTTTTTTTGCATCTTTATTGAGATATAATTCACTTATACAATTTATCCTATAAAGTGTTCAGTGGATTTTGTTATATTCACAAGGTTGTGCAACCGTCACCATAATCTAATTTTAGAACATCTGTCCTCGTTCCCCTTAAAGAAACCTGATACTCATTGGCAATCACGCCTTATACCCTTCTAACCACTTCCAGCCCTAGGCAACCATAAATCTACTTTTTGGGCTTATAGATTTGCCCATTCTGGGCATTTCATATAAATGTAATCATACAATATGTCATCTTTTTTGTGACTGGCTTCTTTTACTTATCATAATATTTTCAAAGTTCATTCATGTTATAGCATGTATTAAAACTTCATTCCTTTTTATGGCTGAATGATAGTACATTTTATGGATATATCACATTTTGTTTATCCATTCATTCTGTTGATGGACATTTGGATTGTTTCCACTTTTGGCCATTATGAGTAATGCTTCTAGGAACATTTGTATTCAAATTTCTGTGTGGACAAATTGTTTTCATTTCTCTTGATTATGTATCTAGGAGTGGCTTGCTCAGTCATATGATAACTCTGTGTTTAACATTTTCAGGAAATGCCAAACTGTTGTTTCAAAGGGGCTGTACCATTTTACATTCTCACCAACAGTATAAGAGGGTTCCAGTTTCTCCGAGTCCCTTTACTGTTTTATTGTTTCTTTTCTAACTTCCTAAGTTGTGTGTTTGGATCATTTATTTGTTCTTGTGTAATAATGAAAGCATTTAATTCTGAGATTTTACTTGCTCCCTGTTCATTAAATGAGGCTGTTCAAATGTTTTAAAAAAAACCACTGTAAAATCTCTTACCTTTTCCATTTGGCCTAAAGTTTGTTTGGTTTCAATTATTGAATAATAACATGCAGAAAAGTGTACATTATAAGTGTACAGCTCAATGAATTATCCCAGAGTGAACACATTTATGTAACCAACACACAATAAAGAAACACAGAACCCTACCAGCTCTCCAAAAGTCCGCTCATATATATCCTAATTGCTACCCCACCCTTCTTTTCCAAAGTTGTCAATACTAACTGCATAGATCAATTTTGCCTGTTTTGGATTCTTTTTGAACAGAAACATACAGATTGGGTTCACTTGTGTCTGGCTTATTATGGTTGGTTTATCCATGTTGTGGACAGTTGTAGTTCATTCATGTTCATGCAGTATATAAGGTATTTCGTTGTGTGTGTATACTTCCAATTTGTTATCCATTCTGTGGATGAATATTGGGTTGTGCTCGGTTTCTGGTTATTATGAAAAATATCCTCTGAACATTCTGGTACATGGTTTTGGGGCACATGCACATGTGTTTCTGTTGTGTAAGTATGTATGCATAAATATGCACATGTCTGGGGTGAAACTGCTGGGTCATAAAGGTCTATATAATATATTCAATTTAAGTTCAATATATTCAATTACCGAACAGTTCTCCAAAATGGTGGTACTCACTCACATTTTCATCAGCATTATATAACCTTTCCATCTGCTCCAAATCTTCACCTTACAGTTTAATCCAGGGTATTTAGCCTGTGGATTTAGAAACATACATGAAAGCATATGTTACAAATGAGTTTGTGTTTTTGATCTGATATATGATTGTTGTGAATATTTCTAGAAAATAGATGCTAGAAAAGTGAAAATGTCCTCTTTGTAGATTTCAAAATATAATAGACATTAAGTAACCTTAATTAATTACATTGAGATTTTATGTATGATTAATTTTTAAAGGTTTTTTTATTGATTTGACAAAGACAAGAATAAGTTTCTCTCTTTGTACTTTTTTTTTTTTTTTTTTTTGACCGGCAACGGATCGCAACCCTCAGTGTCGCGCCCGTACCGGACCGGGACCCGCAACGGGATTGCAACCCTCAGTGTTGCGCCCGCACCTCGCTCAGCCAGTGAGCGGCCGGTCTGTATGTGGGATCCGAACCCTCGGCGGGAGCGCCGCCGCGCTCCTAAGCGGCGCACTGTAGCAGTGCGCCACCAGGCCGGCCCCTCTCTTTGTACTTTTTAACTATAAAACCTCAATATTTCTATTAAACCTCTCAGTACTTCTGTCAGTTTCTCTTTTTATTTTCTAACAGTTTTGCTTTGTAAACTTCCATGTTAATATTATTTGACTTATTGGATGATTTTACCTTAATTAGGAATTATATATTTTATTGATACAATATTGAAAGTGTTTTGGGGGATGGTATTAAATTATCTATGACTTTACTGTTCTCAGTTACTAAAAACAAAAAGATTGATATTCATTAGTGTACCTTTGCCATAAATGTAGAAATAGTTACATGCTCATGTTACTGTATAACAAGAAGTAAAATTTAGTAACAGCAGCAATTATGTGGATAATTACATACTTCAGTTATGTTCTGTGATACATTTGCTTTTTTTTTTTTTAAAAAGATGACCGGTAAGGGGATCTCAACCCTTGGCTTGGTGTTGTCAGCACCACGCTCAGCCAGTGAGCAAACCGGCCATCCCTATATAGGATCCGAACCCGTGGCCTTGGTGTTATCAGCACAGCACTCTACCAAGTGAGCCACGGGCCGGCCTGATACATTTGCTTTTACTAGTACTTCATTTTAATTTCATAAAGTGTCTTTTAAAAGTTGCTAAAATGTCTGACAGAGAAGCTTAACGATTTTCAGGTTTTTTTAATTCTTCAATTAAATATAATTTAACATAATACTTTCTATGACCTCTTTCATTCTACTTATGTAAGCATAGAGTTTTTGCTTTTTTAGATTGATACAATTTACATCTAGTGAAATGCACGTTATCTTAAATGTTCAGTTTGATCAGTTTTGACAAATGCGCATTTTCGGTAATTTATTTTTCTAGCAAAGTATAGAGCGTTTCATTGTTTTCTCAGTTACTTCTCATTTTCTCTACTCTCCTCCAGCAACTACTGATCTTATATTAATTTGCACATCCTAGAACTTAAAATAAATGGAATCATACGATGTACTTTTCTTTTGGTCTGGTTTGTTTCACTCAGTATCAAGTTTTTGAGATTTGTCCATGCCATTGTGTCAATCTGTAATTCTGGTTGCTCTACAGTCTTTCTTATGTTGGGTGATATCAGTCTTTTTTTTTAGTCACTCTAGTCGGTGTATAGCCCATAAGCATAGTTTTAACCTTAGTGAAT